TCGTAAACGAATAAGTTTAACTACAATATAGTAAATAAAACTGTAAAATATAGTTTTAATAGACCAATTTAATCATAGACTAGGTGAAGAAGTTAAACAAACTAGACTAAAGTGAAAGAATTACTAATAGACTTTTTCTCATTACATTTGTATAGTAATCTACATATTTTTCTTAAAGAAAAAATTAAAAACATATAATTCAATAATTCATGGTCTAATTAGTGAAATAAGGAACATACCCTGAAAAATTATGGGAATTAGAGTAATTTGACTTAGAAGCACAAAAGACGATGTGTGCTTTATGGAACCAGCATAAAAATGTACCATAATATGTCAAGTAGCGAAAAATGTGCAGACATGACCGATGAGACGTAAATGCTAAGAATTGTATAGATTTGACAACATACAAGCTCACACGTGACATGCTGCTACATTATATTAATTAAAATAAAATATACATTATTAATTACGCTCTAATGTCTTTGGCAACATAGCAGCATGGCTAAATAATGAAATGACTAATGAGCCGTTGGTGTAGTAAGTTTGAGTCGTATTGTTGATGCATGTTAGGTTTGAGAATTAAGGCTGAGCAAAATCAAATCAAAATCGAAAAATCAAATTGAATCGTGCAATTTGGTGTAGATCGATTTAATTTTTTAATGTAAAATAAATTATGTTTGATTTTGTTCATACATCGCAGTGCGTTGCGATTATAGTTTCTATAAACTCGATTTTCGTTTTGGTAAAGTTTTGCACTGAATCGCACCAAATTAAATAAAATGTATTGAAAATTCGTGATAAGACCAAAACACGAACCAAACCATGCATTTTGGTACAATTTGGTTATGAAAAATTGGGTCGGGAGAGTATAGCGCGCGACTTTCGGACTTTGGACGTGTGTATGAACACTAAATACAAGCGACAATTAATAAATATGTCTTTGAGAAGCGTCTCGCTACCCCTCGAAGCTATTTCACTAGGAAATCGATTGTTTCTCGCAGTATATAGTTTGTAATTACTTTTATAAATTTTTAGATTGGCCACAGTTTTTGGGATTGGTGTTTAGTTATGCTGCTCTTTAGGATTTGATGTTGTGGGTGCGTCTCGGATGTTAGTTTAGGGGGTTCTATGGATCCACTGTTCGGCTAGAGGAGGTCTTAGTTTATTTGTACATTAGGTGTATATATATATTTTTTTTTTCTTATTTTGTCAGTCCAACTTCGTCTGTCTTCAATCTCCTTTATGGAATTTCAGTCTCCTTTTGGAGTTTGTTTTGTTTTTGCGATTGTCTCCTCGTTCCCTTGGATTCGTCTGGAATTACAAGAGGTAGGTCCAAGTTGTCTTATTTTTTTTGTCAGTTGACACCCTCACTGTATACTTTTGAACTTTTAGTTATTATTGTGTTTGACGTATAGAAAAAAATAATAATAATAATTTCACCATCAAACCAAGAAAAAGGATTTTGGCAAAATCAAGTGACTCAATTGTTATTCAAAATAAGATAGGGGTGTCTTCAAAATTCTCCAATCTGAAGAGGACGCTTCCCATATAATTCAAAATAGAAGCCCTCGTGTGAAAAACTCCGACTATTTTAACCCGCCTCCTCATCTCAGATTCCCCGAAAGGGAGCGTTTGGGGATTTAGGGTTTTGTCCGTAAGAGCGAGATTTGAGAGAAGATTGAGCTCGAAGCGGCGATTAACAGGAAAATGTGGAGATCTGATGAAAAACCTGAATGACAAATTTCATGGGGTTTTCGAAATTTGCAGTACCAATGTGATGGTGTATAGTTTTCAATCTGAATTTCTGTTATTTCGCTGCTCGCACTTTCTTCGAATCTTTCTCGCTCTCTACGGCCGGCCTTCATATCTCCTGCGCCTACCTTCCGGGCCTGATGATGATTCTCTGAAGGTCCCGTCGTTTTTTATGAGTTTTCTTTTTTTTTTTTTCGAGTCTTGTTCTGATGCAATATGAGATGTCTGATAGATTAGGCACTGGTAACAACGATTTTTGATTTTATGCGGTTTTCGTTATGTTGTTTGACAGTAGGATTTTAGGTATTTAAAGGGTCCTTTTAGTTCCACTTGCTGTTCGCAGTTTAGCTGTTTTGAGTTATTAGTGTTCGTCCATGCTTTGAATTTTCGGTCTCAATTATGTTTTTGGTTGCTGTAATCTTCTACCTATTTGTAAGCCTGAAGCATAGGAATCAACTTTACCATATATTGGCATGATGAAGAAATTTTGAGCTTTCTAGATTATGATGGCATAAGAAGTTTAGTTCTATTGATTCTATAATTTAGGAACTTGATATCTAGTTAGCATGATAGAGGACTAATTCGGTTTTGTTTAGAGCTTTGCTGATTATAATTGTGAAGGAGTATGGGGTTTTAGAATCATATTATAGTTTTGATGCCTTTCGAAGTGTCACGCGTGTTTCTATTCTTCAGTGTTATGTCTTAATTTATTCTTCATTTGCAATTTCGTGCATGTCGTTTGTCTTTTTCAAAACTTTGGGACCATTGAGACTCAAGGAAATAGTTTTTAGCTTTGTTCTTTTCATCCATTTTCAATGCATGCTGACAGTACGAGTGGAACTGGTGCCTAGTTGATGGGTGGAAAAATCGTGCTATCATGTCGTGTTTGGGTTTAACTATGGTATTTTCGTGTCATCTGTTTTATTTGATTATAAGTATATTTTGTGTTTTCCGTGTCGTGTTGTGTCTTGCTCATCGTGACATTTGTCTCTATAATCATGTTTTCTAATCGTTTTGTGGTCGTGTCTTTTGTTCTGCCAGTACATGAGGTAATTGACAAGAGTATTTTATTTTGGAACTGATATTTTGAATCTTGTTTGAGTTTACACAACTCAGCATTTCAGAGCTGTAAAATCAGAAGGAGTTGTGGTAATCCATGTTATGTTTAAGTTACAATGGCGATAGTATGCTAAAACCTACATCTCTTTTATGATACTCTTTGGTCTTGTTAAGTATAAGCAATGTACTTCCAGCTGAATCCATAATTTCGGTGTTTTATTTATGATATTCTTCATCTTGGGGGGACAAAGATATTTATCTCTATGAATTAGTTTCTGTACTCGTAAATCTGGGGAATATGCTTTGTGAAGCATGTTCTATGTTTTGCACATGGACAACAATTAGTGTCCTTTTTTTTTTCGAATTATGGGGAACATCAGAGTTTTGGAAGCCAACGAGAATGTCAAACAAGAATCAGCTTTATGTAACAGAACCAAGATATTCCTTCTGGATTATATTCTGTATTCATTTTTATGAGCATCATTTTATTTTTTGTGAACTGACAGGGAGCATTCAGTATGTTGCAAATTTCCCGTGTTGACTGTGTTTATGGGTTATTTTTGGGATTTCTCTTGCTTAACTCGTCTGCTGTTTTTTCCGGCACCATTCACTTTGTATCCTTTATTTTCTTCCTGAAAATGTAGCCGTAGGCCCATAACAGGAACATCTCGGTTACGCGTATGGCATGTTTCACGTGTGTTTTAACTTCTGATTCTAAGGTTAATCGAAGCCTGTCTCAATTTTTCTATTTCTTGCAGCATGATGTAAGGTTCTTAAGTAAAGATCTTGAAAGCCTCAGAACCTAACGCTGGTGGTTCTTCGTCAGCACCCTTTGAGTTTGTTCTCTAATCAGATCAGGTGCTAGTGCCATTTGGATTCGGCTTTTGTGTTTCCTCTCAATCTTTCCAGTGGTCCTCACTCGATATTGAGAATGACTTTTTNTGAACAAGATTGCTTGTGTTTCAACTAGTATGCAGGTGTAGATGATCCAATGCAGGTGTCAAGTTTTTCAATGTTTTACTCAAATGGGATCGAAGACAATTATGTATTCTGTAAGGCATCTCTAGGGCTGCAAACAAGTCGAGCCGAGCCGAGTCGAGTCGAGCATTGGCTCGATAAGATTGATTTTTTTTTTTACTTGTTCGAGCTAGATTTATGACGCGCGAGATTTACTCGACAAAAGAAGACAATCGCTCGAGTTCTGCTCGAGATTGATTGGAATCAAATTGCTTGCATGATTGTTGGAGCTCGGCTTGAGTTCGATTCGAATTTCAAGTAAAATTATTATTAAGTTCATATATAAAATATTGTAATATTTATATATAAGGGGTATTATAGTAATTCACCTCATCGCTAGCAGCTCGGCATTCCAAAATTTATGATCGAGATCTACTCGTTAACATGCTCTTGTATGCACGAATGTAAATTATAGTAGATAAAAATAAGAAACAAATAAATTAACTTGCGGCTCTAACTTAGTACTATTGTTAGGTACAAATACTAATAACAAATGTTTGTGAGTTGCAGGATCTAATTTGAGGGTATGGCCCGGGTTGAGATTTTTTTCCTTGGCAGGTTGTTTGATGTTTTCTGGTTTAGCCTATTAATCTTCCTACCTATTATAGTCCCCCTAAGACAGTTGGAGTTTGGTTGATATATTAACTGTTGGAAAAAGACTTGGTGCTCTACAATTGTGAATTAATGGAGAGAGGTAATTTTTTATTCAAAGGAAAAATTACACATTCACCTACAAATTCTAATTTATTTGCATATTTACAAAATTTTTACTTCTAATTGCGAAACATATTTACTTTTTACAAATGGTTGATCTGTGGTTAATTTTTTATTGGTTTATAAATTTATTGTTTTTTGGTTTATAATTCGTTTATGAATATGGTTTATGTATGAATTTATTTTGAATGTCTAAAGTTTTAAAAAAATTGTAGTAAAGATACAAAAAGACCTTTGTTCAGCCACCTTGAAATAAGGATAAGAATTGATATTTTCCTATTCCGCAAGCAATCATGTTTTAATTTATATTTCATTAGTTTTGCTATGGAGTCATCGGATGGCTCGAATTATGGAGTCTTCCATATTTATTCACCAATAATGTATTGACACGTGTCCTGCAATAAATACAATTTGGACAGGTGTCAATATATTAAGTGGTGGATGACTCTATAAGAAAATCATCCGATGGCTCTATAAAATTTTTGTATATTTCATTTCTTTAAACAAATGACAGGTGTCCATGATGATATCACAATTATACACGGGTCATAAAACATGGATTGAAGCATGATTTAGAAATAGGAATTTTTTTCCGTGTTGTGCATCGGGAGTAGACCTCTACTAAGAGTTTATCAACATACAAATTCAGGTTTTTGTTTCACACAACTATCTCATAGAGTTGGGAAATTTGGACATCTCCTTATTTAGGTGTTTATAAGACTTAAACACATGTTTGCTGGCTTGTTAAGCCAAACAACTAAGTGTAAATGGCAACAATACTATCATTTTAAAAAAGCTCAAACAGAGTCTATTGTTGATGGTGATAATGATGATTACAATGAAATAGGTTGAAATGTAGCCTTTTGACATCAAATAGAGGAGTTTGATTTGGTCACCCTTAATCCACTTTCAAGGGAGTGAACAATAATATATTCAAACGAAGTACATGNTTCTAGACTGAAATAGATATTTTAAAAGCATTCCTTGCTAATCCGGAAAAGAAAAGTAGAAGCAATTGCCAAATGCAGTTAAAATGATTGGTTATTTGAAAAGCAAAATATCTTATTTTTTTCATCTATTTTTTTGCTACATAGATTTGTGTAAAATATCTACTTAGACCATCTACAATGGGGTTGCTTAACTGATTGCTTAAAAATAAGCAATTGCTATTTAAGCAATTTCCCATTGTGAAGAGAAGACAAGCAATTGCTTAGGTTAAGCAATTGCTTGAATAAGCAATCCACAAGCAATCAGAATTTGTGGGCCAATGAACCAGAAAATGGTGCAAGACATGTGAGAGAGGATGAGAAATCCAAAATTTGTGGGGTATATATGGGACCCGCATGAGTTGCTTAATAAGCAATTCACCATTGTGGGATTGAATTGCTTAAATCATAGAATTGCTTAATGACACAGGGTTCCACTAAAATAATACTAAAATATTCTAAGCAATTGCTTATTAAGACAACCATTGTACATGGTCTTATATATAAATATAGAGTTTCCTGAAATAACTCGTGCTACGTAATTTTATTAAATGTGTCAGTTTTTATGTTTTGAAATATAGATATAGAACACTTGATTAACTTATATTATAACAACATATTAAAAATTATTAATTAATTTAAATTATAAATAGAAAAAAATAAATTATACAAAATAAGTCTTACCTGTAACTAGTGTTGTTAAATTAAACAAGTTCGGCTCGGCTCAACTCGAAAAGAAAATTTTCATATAACTTTTTATAATTCAATTCGTTAAGGCTCGACATCGGCACGAGCTCGGCTCGTTATTAGTGATAAACAAGTTGAGCTTGAGATTGATTTTAGTCACGTTAATTTATTTAACGAGAGACTCGACTCATTTACAGGCCTACTAGTAAGGAGTGTCGTTTTAAAATATAAACAATAATATAACTTTTTAAAAATTATGGCTGGTTTAAATATAAATAATAATGTAACATTCTAAGAAATTAAACCAAAATTTTATCATTTTCATATATTAAACAAATAATTAAATATATATTTGTATTAATTTGTAATTAAAAACGGTGATTAAGAAGTATAGGAATATAAAGATTGTGATTTGTTTCTCATTCAGCAGTCTTGTGCCTAACCTTCCTCACCCCACAAATTAATGGCGGAAAAACCTTCCTTACCCACAATAGTGGCGGACGCTGCTCACAACACATTTATTGAACTAACCCTCTATCTATCTCTCTATCTCTCTCTTTCTCTCTCTCACACTCAAACACACATATCACTCGAATGACACTGTAATGTGTACTGATAGGCAGTAAGGCAGGTGGGTAGTTGGCTTGCAATATTGTAGCCTTTTTCAGCTCTTCCGAATTAAAGACCCCTTTTGTACTCTGAAACCCCCTTTACCCCAAACAATCTCTGAAGAATTCACCGGCGATGACGCCTCCCCGCATACTCGCCGGAATCTTCCTTCTCCTGGCGGTTTACTGCGCCGTCGACCCGTTTGACCACTCCGCGATGTCCGATTTCCCGAATTTCGAAACGGTTAAGGTCGAAATGCCGGCATGGTCCGAGCTCCCGATCGAGAAAGACCACGAGAACTTGCTTCAGAAATCGGAAATCAAGTTTTTGAACGAGTTGCAGGGGCCCGAGAGCATGGCCTTCGACCCGATGGGCCGCGGCCCGTATACTGGGGTTGCTGATGGGAGGATTGTGTTCTGGGATGGGCACAAGTGGAATGATTTTGCTTACACTTCAGCTAATCGGTGAGGCTAAAAAGGAATTCTTTTTGTCTCCGTTTTTTTGTGTTTTGCTTTTGGGTTTTCGTTGGAACTTTGAAGTTTGGAATTGGAGATGTGGTTGTGTTTTTCAGATGAATGCTTTGGATTTTGCTATCATCTGTTGTTTTAACCGTCTTACGTTATTGTACGACTTTGCCTTATGTTTCTTTATTGCTTACTGTTCACTGTCCATAATGTTGGCCATTGTAATCTGATTTTTGGCTTCACTTGTTATTTTAGCTCTTTAACTAAGAACCTAATGCTAAGATCACTGTCAGGTTTGTATATATTAGAGAAGGCTGTGGTGTTGTTAATATGGTTTTATCTCTTCGGAGTTGAAATGGCATATGAGAATTTTCTGTTTAGATAGCTTTCTGAATTTCTGAAGTTTGAGTCGAATGCACTTATATTTGCAATCCATTACAAATTTTTCCAACTGGCTCTGTTTTTGAGGCTTATGAAAACTTTTTTCGTGATTGTTTTATCACTGGTTGCTGAAAAATAGTTCAACGTAGATCTTTATATTAGTGTCTCTGGAGGTTTATTTCAGATGAACTTGCTAATGGTGGATGCAATAGGGTCCTTATCTTATTACTGGTTCAGAATCATACGAGGATATTATGTTATAAATTTACCTGCCTTAGTATGCGGTTTTTTTCCTTTTTTTTTTTTCTTTTTTCCTTGCTTCTTGCTTTACAGATATACTTGTAACTGGATTGGTTTGTTCCAAGTTTTCTTTGATGTTTTATCCAATCCTTCTCATTTTGTTCTTTCCTTTTTCTCCCTTTTATCCAATCCTTCTCATTTTGTTTTTTTCCTTTTTCTCCCTTTTCTTTTTCGATTGGTGCCCTTTTGTGGAGGGCTCGTTTAAATGACTTCATTTCTATTTAGTTTCCTCTCCATGCACTTTTTCTGTACTTTTAGACTCCAGTTTTCATGCAGCATATTTCCTTCTCGTGTAAGTCATTTTATTTGTTACTTTTTTTTCAGGTCGGGCCTCTGTGATCCAAAACCTTCGATCTTTGGCTACTTAAAGAATGAACACATATGCGGGAGGCCATTGGGTTTAAGATTTGACAAAAAAACAGGCGATTTGTACATAGCAGATGCTTATCTTGGGCTGATGAAGGTCGGGCCTGAAGGTGGTCTGGCAAAATCATTGGCCACCGAAGCTGATGGAATTCCTCTGAGATTTACAAATGATTTAGATATCGATGAAGAAGGAAATGTTTATTTTACTGATAGCAGCACCAACTATCAAAGAAGGTAGATGTGAAAACTATGCCTAATCATTAGAGAGATAGTAAATAGAGTTTTTTTTTTTTCTTTTCTTTTTTTTTTTTAACAAATTTTGAACTTTGACTAATTAGTAGAAAAAATCCATTTTATCTCTTAAACTTGCACATACACAATTGAGGTGTTTGCATTTGTAATATGTATATCCCTTTCAGTAGGTGTAGTTTGTAATTCCAAATAGTAGCTGAGTTTCTATTATTGTTAGCAATAATATTGATGATTTTTTATGATATTACATTAAGCTTCAAGGATATAGTTTTTATATGACTTCCAAGTTCCAACACATTTCTATATAGATCCATTATATAATTGATACTTAATGACTCTTTTTTTCACTTGTTTTAGGAACTTTCTCCAATTAGTTTTCACCGGGGATGATAGTGGAAGGGTGCTGAAATACAATCCAAACACAAAAGAAACCACTGTTCTTATTCGAAATGTTCAATTTCCAAACGGGCTTTCCATGAGTAAGGATGGTTCGTTCTTTGTGTTCACTGAGGGTGCAATTGGAAGGTATGCCTAATATCTAAATCATGCTATTCGTAGGACCTAAAACAGACTAGTTTTAAGAATACCGGTTTTGGTTTTAGCTATTGAGTGTAGATTAAAGTGTGAAATTTTGAGAATTTATGCATGGTTTTGAGGAGAGTCTACCATCGATCAATGTATTGACTGCTTTTTTTACACAAAAAACGAATTATAAACGTTGAGCATAAATCTAGAAGAAGTAAAACTATTTCTCTTTCAAATTCTCAATAAATACACGACATTGTGTTTGGTAAGCATACAAGCTAGCTTATAGCTTATTTGATTAGCTTATAAGCTCCTTGTATTCAGTAACAATAAGCTTGGTTTGGCAAGACGAACTTTTTTTGAAAAGTTTGAGCCTATCTCATAAGCTTTCCTTAGGTAGTTTTTCAAATAAGCATATTGAAAATTTTGTTTCAGCTGTAGCTTATCAGCTAATTTTACCAAACGCTTTTATCATATAAGCTAGCTTTTCAGTCATAAGTCATATCAACTATAAACTCAAAATTCACTTCAAAGCTATGAACTAGCTTATCAGTTAAGTTTACCAAACATAGCTAGCAAGTTAGACAAGAGCTGAAGAAGTCTTTTTGTACTTTTCAAGTGAACCTTTTGAGTGTAAATAATTTGGTAAAACAATCACCAAACCCTCGAGTGGTATTTGACTTATTTGTAATTAAACTTCTGTAACTTGTTTTTTCCCCATTCTCACATCTTTTGCTTGGCTTATAATGTATAAAGGCTTCGAAAGTATTGGTTAAAGGGCGAAAAGGCAGGTACCACTGAGGTTATGGCCATCCTCCCGGGACATCCAGACAATGTTCGGACGAACGAGAAGGGGGAGTTCTGGGTAGCAATCCACTGCCGCCGGACCATATACTCCCACTTCCTAGGACTGTACACAAAGGTCCGAAAATTCTGGCTCAAGCTCCCGATTCCAGCTAAATACCACTACCTCATGCAGATTGGAGGCCACATGCATGCAGCCGTTGTTAAGTACAGCTCGGAAGGTGAGATTCTGCAGATTTTGGAGGATAGAAAAGGGAAAGTGGTTAGAGCAGTTAGCGAAGTTGAAGAAAGAGAAGGGAAGCTTTGGATGGGGAGTGTTTTGATGCAGTTTGTGGCAGTTTATGAGTTGGAATGATACGGGAAAAGGGCTCGAGTATTTTTATCTTTATCGCGCGTAAGTTTTAAGCTTAAGCCGATGGGGGTATTTGTTGTTACATGAAG